AAATTTTGAGAGAACACTGTTCCACAAATAGCTTATCTGCTCCCTCTTCCTAGCAAGAAGGGGTTTGTGTAGGGCCGTGGTGGTTCTACTAGGTTTTAAGCTGCAGTAACTGCTGGAGGAAAGCTCTGTATCCCCGCCCTGTAGCTTCTTTGCTACTTTATTCACCACCCCACCCTGCCCTCCCAGTCCAGTTCTCTATCCATCAAAGTGAGGACCTGTTATGCAGTTCTGAGACCTAAGAGGAGCATGCCTCAGTGACTGAAGAAGGAGGTCACAGCCACTACCTCTAAGAGAAGATGACAAAGGTTTGTCATGTTTGGAAACATCATAGGAGATAATGGCAAGTAAGTTATTAATTGAATTTGATTTGTCAACCCATGCCTATTTTCATCCAAAATTTAAGATATCACAAAGAGGTTGCCTGAGGCTTTTCTAGTACTCATCACTTCTCCCTACAGTGGATTCACATAAGTACTAATGATACTGCCAGATATGATCCTGAGGAGATCACAAGTGCCTACAAGGATTGGACTTGGGACACACAAAATATTATCAACCTTCCTGTTTGAATGTAAAGACCTAAGTAAGAACAGGTGAATACTGGAGGTGAAGGGATGCCTAATGGTAGTGTTTACTGGAGGACTTTAGCTTCTTCAGCCATGAAGGGGAACTGAGAAGAAATGGGTTCTTCTTCAATGGTTCAAGTCAAGTCAGTTCCGAGGCTGCTGTGGCCATTGGAGCACCTTAGAGGCTGTAACAACCCTCCTCCACTCTTATATTAAAGCTTTAATTTAATTTTAAAGTAGAAGTGGTGATGAAAGTGCAGAGGTGAATTTAAAAATAATGGTGACCTGATCAAAAGGCCAGAATCCGTATGCGAAGGGAAAGTGGGCAAGTGGGGGTGGGATTGCAGCCAACTCATGGGACAGACAAGAGGAAGAGAAATGGGGCAACCTGACAAACATCTAAAATGTCTATGCGCAAAGCCAAGACTACAGGAATAAAAAGGAAGAACATAAAGAATATGCAAAGTACACAACCAAAACTATGATGTAACTGGCATCACAAAAACATGGTGGGGAAGGTCACAGAGGTGGTATAAAAGGGTATAGTTTTTTCAGGAAGGGCAAGCAGGGAACAAAGGAAGGAGATATTGCATTATTAATTAAAAATATATACATCTTCTCCAAAGTGTGGTAAGAGGATATAGGCAGCCTCTTGCATATCACTAGTAAAAGGAGAAAAGAACAGGTGTGATGTAACAGGAGATAAGGTAGATAAGACTTTTCTGAGCAATTCACATGACCATTCAAAATACAAGACTTTGTGATAACAGGTGACTTAACTTTCCCAGATATCTTTTGAGAAACATTATGGCCATCAGGCTCAAATATCCAATAAGTTACTGGAATGTTTACAGTGTCAGAAGTTACTAGGTGAGTGGCTTTTCTAGATTTAGTTGTGAATAGTAGAAGTTGAGAATCTGTAGGTGAAAGGTATTTTGGGATGACAGGAAGAGGCCAAAACAATCATTGCCTTTGTTTCTCTTTTTTCACAAAAGAACTGTGACCTGATACATAACTAAGTATTTTAAGATGAGGATAAGTGTTCAGGATAGGCAAAGAATAGATTATGGAATATTTTACAAAAATGACTCCATTGGCAATGCATAGGGGGTGCACCCGGGTGCATGTGCACCCCCTGAGATTGGTGGTACACCCCTGCAAAAAGGAGCCGCTGACATTTCCAGTGGCACCTGTGGGCGATCGCCACTTGCCACCTCTCCCTCCTTCACCACCGACACCATCGGTGGTATCTGTGGGCAGTCCCCAATTGCCACTGGCCACCACGGCCAACAGCATCTGTGGGTGGTCACTGACCCCTGGTTGGTGCTTGCCACCCTCACACCCCACCACTGACAGCACCGCGGCTTCCTGCGGGAGCTCACTGCTTGCTGCCACTATTTGCAGAAGCTCACCGTGCCCCCCACAGCCTCTGGAAGCACGCAGCATTCATGGATGACTCTATTAAACTCAGCAAGGCCTGGTGAAATTCACTCTAGTGTACTAAAGGAACTAGTCAGAGCAATCTTTAAGTCATCTTCAAGAACTAATGGATGTTGAGAGAGGTCTCAGAGAAGTGAAGAAGGAGGGACAGTACTTAACTTTGAAGAGAGTAAAGGGGGATCCAAAGAAATTCTAGACAAATCAATCTAACATTGATACCTGGGAAGATGTTAATGTATTATAGAATCAATTCAATTTATATCCAAACAGGGAAAAATAAGGTGATAAAAACAGCTTATAGGGATCATACATTATCAGATCAGTCTAATTCCTTTTTTTCACAAGGTAGCTGGGTCTACCGAATAAGTGAGAATTGGTAGATGAGATATATGTTGACTTTTGTAAGACTTTTGAAGATCTCTTATATAACAAGTTCATAAATAAACAAAATTATATCTTCTAGATGTGCATTTACCTTATGGTGATTTGAAATTGTTGAAAAACTACATTCAGAGCCTAATAATTCTTCACTAAACTAGGAGGACATTTCAAGTGTGATCCTGTAGGGGTCAGTCTGTTTCTGTTTCCTAACAGTATAATGGAACAAAGGATGTACCTACATAATTTGTTGTTGTGAAGGCTTGGGAGGGGTTGCAAACTTTGAAAGAGTCCTCCTTTGAGGATAGGGTTAGAGTTTGAAATGATCTTGGTAAAATGGGGACACAGTCTGAAATCCAAAAGACTAAATTCAATCAAGATAAGTGAAATAACTATGCTTAGGTACAGGCCCTCTCAGAGGTCGAGAGAGGCCCAGGCCACTTCCATTTCTTGAGGCTCAAAATACAATGCAATAATTTGTAATACAAGTTCCTTTTTTATTTAACAAGTGCTTTTCTAGCTTTTTTCTTCTCCTTTCAATCCTGTCAGTGTATCTCTGTGTCCGTATGTATAATGTCATTTGGATATAATGTCACAAGTCTAAATTTGAAGCCCTCCATGAATGAGAGGCCCAGGCCAATTGGCCCTCCTGCCCCGCCCCCCCGTGATAGGCCCTGCTTAGGTAGGAAACATCATGCGTACAAATACAAATGGGGCATAACTGGATAGGCAGGTACTACAGAAAGGGATGTGGAGGTTATAATAGATAAGAAATGCAGTCAACAAAAAAAGAAAAAAATGCACATCTTACTCTAAGATGTATTAAGAGGAGTGCCTTTAATAAGCCACAAGAAGTACTAAAAGTTGTGTCAAATTTTGGACATCACTCTTTTAAAAAAGAGGTTGAAATTGGAAAGGTTGTAGAGGAGAGCAAGAAGAATGAGAAGCAGTTTGACAAACATTAATTAAAAGGAAAGTTTGAAAGGATTAGATTTGTTTTCTATAGAAAAGTGAAGCCTGAAGGGTGAATGTGATAAGCTTTCTAAACTGTAATAGGCTGTTAAAGGGGACAGAGATCAATGGTTTTCTATGCCCACTGTATGTAGGGCAAGAAGCAGTTGCCTTAATATCGAAAAAAGGAGCTTTAGGTTAAATGTTGGGAAAAATCTTTTTAACTATAAGGATAGATAAGCATGAGGATAGGATAAATAGAATAGATTCTATTTAGTTATACAATCCTGCTTATTAGAGGTTTTTATGATCAGGCTAGAAAACCACGTACTGAATATGCCCAAGGAGTATTTGATCCTTACCTGGAACACCAGTCTTTGACTAGATGAAGTCTTAAGATCCTCTTAGTTCTACATTTCTATGATTTCTAGGCTTTCTCTTTTAGAAAACAACCATATTTTCTGGTTTGGAAAGTATTTAGATACTAAGTCATAGGATATAGAACTGATGCAAACTTAACTGACATGCTGAATTTTGAATATGTGTGTTTTTTGTCTTCTAAGTATATTTCTAGAATATAATTCCATAGAATAATCAACTGAAACATGCTACTGAACTGAAAAGTAACAACACAATATTACTTTAGACACAGCTTCTGCTAAGCATTGGACCAGATGCAGACTGTTTAAAAATCTTAGTTTGCTGGGCACCGGTTCAGTTTTAACAGTTGATTTAGAACAGCCTATGGACTTCTGTAAGTTTAGGGTTCTTGTTGATGCCATTCCAGGAACAGAGGATTGCCTACCTAGTTCAATGTATCCTAGGTGGTGTGGATTTCCCT